TAAAGATTTTGTTCGAAATGCAATAGATTTGTGTGTGTTTGTGTGTGTGTGTGTGTGTGTGTGTGTGTGTTTTGCCCTCCTGTGCCAAAACTAAACAGAAGTGAACCCTCCTGTTTTCTTATGCTGTGTTTTCATCAGCATCAGCTGCTAAACTCCACCTCTTTGAGGCTACTAGTTATCATAACACAAGGAGACAATGTTAATGTCTAAATGACTATTCAAGACTCTACAGTGTAAGAGTCCTGGTCTGTGTTAATTCAACCTTAACTTTGTGTAAATGGTATAAAAATCCTGATCATGCTAATGAAAACACAGCAGGTTGTGATTTAGTTTTCTGAGTTTCATTTCAGTTTTGTTTTTTTTTTCTTTATCTAAAATATCAAATAGCAGTTTTTATACTAAATTATTACATGATTTGTATTCACTGAGAATAAACCATTGTGTCAATACTGAAATTTAACCAAAAAAAAAAAAAAAAAATTCATCAAGTCATGCATTCCACAAACCTGATGGAAACAACCGTAACAAATTCTGAATGTTCAGCAACAGAAAACCACGAGTCTAAACAAAAACAACAACCTCTGTGGAAAGTGTCTGCTTCAGTTTAGGAATCCTTCACAGTTTCCAACTATATGTGATGCTATGACTATGGCGGCCAAGTGTTTCTTTTTCTCTGGGGCACTGAAATTTAGATTAGATATAACAGCAGGTCTACCATGAACACAGGCTAACACAGTCAGGAAATAGATCCACTGGATGTTTAAAGACAGGGCCGTGAAGGTGAAAAGGAAGTAAAAAAAAGAAATGTTCAAAGAATGTTCTACTTTGTTGCAGAACCGCAAAAAAGGCTCAACATCTTATCTTATTATCTGTCATCAGTTTTTCTCTGCCGCAGAAACGTCTTGTCGTGTCAGACAAAGGGAAGTGGAGGTCATTTCATAGAGAATAATGACTGTCATCATAATTAGAAGTGGCAGCACATCCCACAGCAAACACAAGAGCTGTTAACGTCGCCTGTACAGCAGGAAGAGAAGAATGTGGACATGAAATGTTGTCTCACACACAATGGCTACTTAATTAGGTATTCCCTGACAAAATAAAAAAAAGAAACCATTAGTTACAGTGGGGAAAATCAGCCATTAGACTATTTCTGCACTGCGTCACAAACTCTACAGCAGTGGGTCTTGACCAAACATGGGCCGCCAGTGCCTGGACAGCCACAAAAAAACGTTCACGTTTGCACCTGTAGGCTCCAGGACTACATAGGATATCAACTGATGATATCTTATCCATTAGAAGCTGAGTTATGTTGTAGCTTTCGACCACATGGTGGCGGTAATGCATGCAGTTCTTTGACAAACAGATAAGAGTGTCTTCTATATGCTAGCTATAGAAAAAAAATGGCATAATTTAAAAAAAATGAATTTTGTTATTGAATTATTGCATAAGTACAATCCCGACTTCAAGTGAAAAGACGTAACACCGTCCCCGTGGCCTGTTTGGTCAGGATGTGGCTTAATGCAGATGCAAACACGTGTGCGAAACAGCTTACATGTTAAACAACTATATTTTTTTCAGATTTGACAATGTTCACCAGGAAATTTGATGAAAGACACTTCAGTGAAACTAGGACAACATTGTACTTCAAATCAGCTGTACAGAGAAACATGATAATGTCAACTTCTTTACTTCCTGACTATCGCTTAAATGTGCTGTACTTTGCAACGGTGATAAAGACAGTTATTAGGCAGAAATTGAACTAATAATTTCTCTCTAGACATCCAACTCCAGGCAAAGAAAACCCACAAAGTAGCCAATGGCTGACATAAGTGCTTCTTTTCTGGCCATCCCATAATTTCAACATGATGGGTTTATTTCTTTGCGGTGACCCACGGAAGCTGTCAGATCTCCTCAAAGACCACACAAACAACATTACTGTTCCATTAGAAACCAGACCACAGCAGCTTTACACTGCATTTTCTAAACGGCTTCCTGGAAGCACTGACACATATGTCAAATGCGCTGTATGACAAATCCATCCAATCCAAGATTAATTAATCTGTTTTGTTTCTGTGGAGCTAACACTAATCACTTGTTCTGTAGTATTTTCCAGAGAGAGAAAATGTGGTTAAACCACAGCTTGTTCCTCATTTCAGTCCTTATGTCGCCCTGCAGCTTATGCACTGCATAGATTTAGTGATTTTAACACATCAGCCTATGGTAGGAGTTGTATGGTATCTGTTCCATCTCCAGGGATGGAAAGATCCCTATCTACTTACTTCATTGATTCACTGTGTGTGTGTTTGTGCCTTCTACTGAACAGATGACTAATTTTACTGCCGGAGAGAAGCTTCAGGCAAAAAACACTAATAAATAAAGATGAGTTTGAGTGAATACATGAGTGTGAAACAGCAACAGAACGCCACACTGAATAATCAAGTTGTTGATGGTTTTTTTCAAGCGGGGGCAGATTTCATTACATAAATGTATTTACCCACAGTTGCTTTTGTTGTCCTGCGATGGGACTAATGTCATCAAATGTTCTTTTTTTTTGTACACAGTAAACCGCTTTCTCATACATCATTAGTCAGTCACTGAACAATAGTCTATGGTTTGACATTACAGGCAAACATTCCTAAAAGTCATAACTACGATAACTAAGTTTGTTTATAAAAGAAGTCTCAAAGCTCATAAATACCAACAACAATTAGCTGAACGTTAGCAAATGACAGTTTGGATGTAAAACCACATTTCAAAATACACTGCAATTACTGGTACGACAATTTGGACACACATTTTAGAAAATATCATAAAAGGTGTCATAAAAATAGTTGCATTGATCCTGTTGAACATGAATGAACATGGAGTTCTGTACATTTAGGTCGTCAAACAATCAGTTCTGAACCAAATGATGACAACTATTTGATGGAACTGAATGACAGTTCTTCCAGTTTTGGAAAAAGACGAGCCAGTGTTCCTTAAGCTGACTGACTCCAATGTGTTTACATATGATGTTTGCTAAATGAAACACCTGACTGCTGCACACACGTCACCACGTCTAATAATGCACCAGGAAAAAGCTGATCCACTGTTTTACTCATGTCATGTAGACATTTGCTATACATTATGTACTTTGGTCTAAATTGGGCTACATCAAGACTGCAGCGTGGCTCAGAAGTGACTTAAAACATGTTACTTTACCTTTGGATTTAAATACAAGCAATTAAGTCCCCTGCATTAGTGCTACAACTATTTGACTTACGTCGGGATTCCGTTCTTGGGGCGCAACTAGCTCAATTTTCGCCGTACGTTGGAACTCACATACTGTACATATATGTATGGCGTACGACCGGCGAATGTAAACAAAGCCGTCTTTTGCATATGGCACCAAATGATTAAATATTCGCCACCTCTGGTCGGCAACCGGTTCCCATGCGAATTTTGTTTTTAAAGCTATATGTCAGAATGATGGAACAAGACTTTCTTAATACATTTAAGGGAGATAGCGACATAACCACGAAACGCCATAGGTCGAGGACATCGTAAACCAAGGACTGCCTTTTACACTGTTTTTAATTGCATTTTTATGGTATCATCATAATTTATTGTTTCATTATTTTTTTGATGAGGAAGAAACTGGTATGTAAACACAGTTGTTACTTTTCCCTGTACATGATGGAGAACAGAGACTTACTGGTTTCTAACTAAGTGTGAAATAACAAAGATTTGGATGTTGGATCCAAAGACATGCAGTTTGACCGACATTTTGTCTCTCTGTCCATCAGCAATAGGGCCACCATGTGACTGACTGGACCGTCCAGCTGTTAATTTTCTCACACTGTGTTGAGTCGAAAACGCTAAAAGACCTTAGGAACCTTTTTTCCTACCCTACCTCACATCACATCTCTGTAATGTGCATCGATGCACATTGTTAACAATTAACCTTGGGTTAGTCTTTCCGACTCTAGATTTGGTTCACACTATGGCATATTATATATAAAGTATTTAACATTTAAATGCCACACAATTCACATTGAGTAATTGTAAGAACAGATGTAAGAGGAGGGTCTAAATAGGTCATATCTATTTTTAGGTTTACAAATTATAACGTAACAGTTAGAAGAACAGCAATAACAATTTCCACTAACAGAAATCTGCATTTAAATCTACATTTTGTTGTGAGGAATAGAGTTGAGAGTGACTAGTTATATTGACCAGAGCCACTTGTTATTAGCATGAATATGGTGGTTAGCTAAAATATACATTTACAAGAACAACAAACAATATTTTTCAAATATTAATTCTTTGTTTTTACAAATGAAAAGTTATATTTACAAGCTATATTTAAAAAACTAGCTGTTTGTTGACTGTTCAGATAAGGTCAGGGTATTACAGAAAAGTGTCCAGAATATTCCAATATATATATATATATATATATACAACCTTAGGATAAATTAGTCACAAAAATATCTAACCTTTATCAGATACAAATCAGATTAAGTCTGGAATGAATAAGGAAGCCTTGGAGGCGTCATTGCTACGAATGAGCTCTTATTTTTGTCTCAAAAGGAAGTTTGCGTCAAAGTTTATACAAAACATATATTTCTGAAAGCTATAAGTAGAATTTTAAGATTTAAACAAGTAAACACATGTCAGAATTACATGAGGTAAAACAAGTCTGACGTTATCTCAGAATTCTAGGGTAAAAAAAAAGAAAATTAAACGTACCCGTACTGTTACGTGTAAAGGAGTAGAATAAAACTTTTTTCTGTATAAAGTCGAAAGTAGTTCTAATAAACAAACACATTTTCCCCAAAAATAGACACAATTGTCTGATTTGCATTAGTTGACAACACCCACCACGAAACAAACTAAACACCGTCGAGTCCTTATTTACGGTAAAGGAAAAATACATAAAGTATGGGCGCGGGACTTCTTATTCCACAAAAAATATGCTTTTAAGTTATACTAGTGTACTAGTGTAATTCGAATGGTTCTACCTGGAAAAGCAGCGGTGACGGGGACGCAGAGCAGGATGAGCAGCAGCGGCAGCAACGGCACAGAGGCCCCGCTCTGGAAGCTTCTCCGTCGGCCACAAAGCAACAGCATCTTCGGCCTCTTCTTCATCATAACCACAGCAGGTAGTGACACACGGGGCAGCCGTCATTACCCCATGACTTCAGTAGTGCCTTTTATTGTCCACAATACCCAGACAGAGTAGCAGAAGATAAGCCGAACAAGCTGCACCAGAGCGGAGTGCGTGGATTTAATCCACTGCGGGGCTAAAGATAGCGTAGACTCAGCTCTTAGGCACAGGAGGAGGAGGGGTTCCCGAGTGAATGTGGTACCTTCATCATCTGCTCGTACAATTACAAGAAAATGAAATGAATGGTTTTGGTTTTTAATATAAACCCCGACGTAAAGTTACATTTTTCATCTTGAATTATTCAGAACTTACTTCAGAAAATTGACAAAATCCACTTTTAATGCGTTTGTTGTAAAATAAAATTTCCCCTACTGCACCTGAAGGCAGCACCTCAGGTGAGGACTTCTGTCCGACTCAGTTCGCTTATTATAGCAAGTTTTTCAGTAAATTCGCTTTAAAATATTTTTACAGACGTTGATAAAATGATATCTGGTTAGCTACAGCACACTGGCAAAGGCAACTAATTCGCCGGTTTGCCAGATAAAATTAACTTTCTATCAATACCAAAAACTACGATGGCACATGTGATTAATACGAAAGCAATTTAAAGAAAAATGCAAATTTCTTTCAAAGTATCCCACTATGATGATTTAGCAATAAACGCTTTTTAAAATAGGGCTAAAATGTGTAAATTGAGTGGTCACTGTTTTAGTGTGAGGCTACTGAGGTAGTGTTGGGTGGGTTGAAAGTGTTCAATATTGTATTATTTATCTTGTGACTCTTAACTGGCCTCGATGGTTGGCTGTTGACCTAACATTAGATGTTCAATTGTATGTATTTAATTGGATTATAAGATGTATATGAAAATGTTCTCTTGGGTCATGCTTTATGGTCTATGTTCCTCTAAATAGGATTGCCTTCAATAGCAATACCATGTTGTAAACCAGTAGACTACATTCCAACTTGTGACCAGTTCATTTATGGACACACAATGACAATATGTCTAATGTGACGTAAGTAAGAACCGGTTTTATATGTGCTTTTGTTGCCAAAAGTACACACTATTAGTTTGTCATCAAAACACATATTTTTTAACTACAGTGGTCAAAAACCAGCATAACTGGGTCAACAGAACCCTGTGACTAAATTAGTGGAAGGTGCTAAATTATTACATTAAGGGTCAGAATGATTTGAATGACGCAGATGTAGTAAAATGATGCCCACAGTGACATTTTAAAAAAGATGCTAATGTCAATAAGCATCAAATAGGTAAACAGTACATGTAATTGCGGACTATTGTTGTCTTCACCTCCATTAGCTCTATTATTTTTTCCCACACACCCCACCAAGGGTGAAAGGCAGCTGCTGGTGACAGAGAGACAGAGAAACAAAAACCTGGATCAGATTGACAGCAGATAAAAGCTAGTGTTTGTTCAGAGTAAAAACAGACCATCCCCGTCAGGGTGTATTTAGTTATGGAGATTCATTTCTTTCTTTCTTTTTATGACACTTTCCTTATTTTAATGCAAAACCAGTTTGTGGTTAGGTTGAAATACTGTGGTACTGTGGTCCTTTTACCATTATCACTTCAATCATCATTTGTGTCAGTTGGATGCTTGTTGTATTAGCTCTCAGCATTCTAAATACATGGTTTTGTGTTTCTATTAATTTCTTATCTAACCCTCATATTTAGATATAGTAAGAAAATACAGAACACATTAAAAATGAATACATCAATTAGCTAATGCCAATTAGAATGAAGGTGAGCAAATAAATTGGTAACTTACATATTAAATCCAATGTTGGACATAAATGTAGCCAAATAAAAGGTTACCTTAGGAGAAAATGTTCTGGATATGACTTAAATCTACAACTTACATCAATCTAATTTACAATTTTACTAAAAATGAGAAAGGTATAAAAAAAGAAAATGTGTTGTGGTGTTTTGTTGTTTTTTAACTAATTCTTGACAAAATTAAAATGGATAAATTAGCTCATATTAAAGTTATGTCAGTAAGATTCAAAAGATTGATTGAAAAAATGCTGTGTCATGGTCAAAATGTCTCTGAATCATCTACTGTAGGTTTTTACTCAGGTCTAACTGAAGGCATATGGACACCACAGAAAAGAACCTTTTTTGTAATTTATTGACCAAACTGTCTCAGGTCACAATGAGAAACTGAACAGAGAAAAGGTATGGAATCGTGTCATGCATCAAATATGGCACAGTTTCAGCTTTAGCCACTGATTAATGAACATGAATTAATTATTTTTTTAATAAGGAAAAACAGCAGAAAATAAAACAGCATTAAAAATTCACTTATTATGTCTGGTCTTCTGTGTGAGAACGGTAAAGGTAAAACAGTCCTGAGGTATACAGGTGGGCAGTGCCTTATATTGGCTAATACAAACCAAAATATAAAATGTCACTTTAGAAAGAAAAATTAAAAATGGACTGAGCAGCATTTAAATGAAAATACACTGTACATGGAGAAAAGAAAAACCACCTACTTTCGGCTCACATTTCATATAAAAAACACAACCTTTTGTACATTAGTAAGATTAAAGCAAATTAACTCATTGTGCATTTGTCTCAAGTATATGGTTAAATGTTAAGAATGCAAAACGAGTGTGAGTGTGATGGAAATATATTTCTACATTGCAATTTAAAAAAAGTAAAAAAAATAAAAATAAAACACTGTTTAATTCTAATTGCAGACCGGCAGTTTTGTGTTTTAGAATATGTAAAATGTACTGTACATTAGCGACCCATAGAGATACTACAACTGTAACACAGTCTCACACACACACACAGAACCATACAGATATGAAGTCAGGTAAGTCAGTATAACCAAACTTGTGTTCCGAGTGGTCCGTGGTCAGACCGTGGACCAGACTTTGATGCTTTACCTGCAGTATAACAGATATTGTTATCCTGCAAAGTGTGTTGTTTTGTTTTTTTTTGCAATATTATTAAGGGAAGATGCAACAGGGCTAGATTCTTTCAAACTAGATCCAAAACAAATATCTTCCAGACTTTTCTCAAAGATGAGCAGAACCCGTGGCAAAGACCAAACCTTTAATATTGCAACTTAACCTCCCAGTACAGAGGTCACCAAACACCAAAAGAAGAGCCGGCTCTTGGTATAGGCCACATGGGCGGTTACTTAGGGTGCCCTCTGCTGGAGGGAGTGATTCAATAACCTCTTTGAAAAAAATTGGGGGCGTACCAAACCATAATCCCAAAAACATATCTGGTGATTATTTTATCCATTATAGGAGTGAATCTCTTTTATGAAAAAGAACAAGGATTTTCTCCAGAGTACACTTCCATATTTATGCAACAATACAAGGTTAGAAACCTTAGAACTAGATCAGGCATGGGCAAACGTTTTGGCCTGTGGGCCAAAATAAGGTTCAAATATTGATTAGTGGGCTGTTTCATTATTGGTTGAATGTAGAATGTTTGAGCTAAATAATATGAATAAAATGTTGAAGATTAAAGCGAAAGCTTCAGTGAAATTGAAATTACTATCGATGTTGTAATGCATGAAACAGAAGGACTGACATCAGTCTTCCCCTTCTCTTGTACTAGTGTGTGGATGGCCGGATTAGAAGGCCCAGCGGGCAGCATCTGGCCCAGGGGCCATAGTTTGCCCATGTCGAGAATGCAACTAGACTGTGCTAAAATGTCAATCATTTCCAAACCTAGTCAAGTTTACCAAATGGAATTGATTTGATTTGAGAAGAAATTGTCACACATATGCGAGCACACACACACACACACACACACACACACACTCTTTTCACTCAAGGGTCACCACAGCATTCTACACATTTACTCTTTAAATTCCCTGAAGATTTTCACCATTACAAAATTAATAAATAAACTAATTTAAAATGGCCCCAGTTCGTCTACTTCATTTAACACGGTATAAGTCACTAACACCACCTGGTGGCCATATTCAGGTATTATTAACAGTACTGGCAGACATTAAAGGTGCATCTAGAATAAAAAACATACAGCGTTGCATAAAAACATGTAGTTGAGTGTATTGTTGTTGCCTCATCTACTGCATAGTCAGGTGAGGAACTAATGTTCTACCCCACCATCACCACACACAGGCAGTTCTTCTGGTTCAGATTTATCCTAAAGGTTTTGGCTCACTACAAGTCCAAACTAATTTTCTCCACCACACAGGGTAAAAGCCACAACTTTCTCACTGAAACACAGCACCGTGTCTGTAACTGTGTGGGGTCATGCAGGTCAAAGTGCTCCAGGTCAGAGGCCAGTGTTGGTGTCTGGGGCTCTTGTAAAACAAGATCAAGGATTTGTTTTCTGTTCAGTTTGTGAGTTTGTGGGCAGAGATGAATCCGCTGAAAACAATTCAGTCCTGAGATCCTCTCTGTCTGTTTCTGTCCTGCAGATTTGCTCCTGATTTTCCTGCTGCTGCTGCTCTTCTTTCGTTGACAATTCTCCTCCGGACTCCTTCATCTCTTCCTCGAGAACCACACCGTCTTTCTCCAGGACCAACTCCAGTGTGGGGCCTCTGACTGCTCCTGCCTCCAGCTCACCCTCCTCCGCCAGGCGGAGTTTGATGTTCATGCCCACAGGTTTCTCTCTCTTTTCTGGACAACGAGGAGGACAGTGTTTAACAAAAATACAACAGACAGAACTACACCAGGAAGACTGAGGATATTTTGATATTTGTATTGATTTAAGGTTTTTAGCTCACTTCACCTTAAACCATCAAAATCAACCATTGTTTTTTCCCTTTTTGCATAAGAAAGTCATATTATATATATATAATTAATGACAGTCACACTCTGTTAAATCTGTGACATTTTTCATGTAAGCGTAGCTCATGTTTTCTCTGCTAAAAATGTAATCTAAAAATTATTCTAATGTCTCTTAAGATAAATACATTAAAAAATATATATTTTAAATTGTAAACCAAGAAAACTTTAAAGGCATTTCAGAACCTGAAACCCTTCATATTTTTCTATACCCTTTAATTGGTTCTTAAAAACAAAAAATGAATCTGGTAATAATCAGTATTTTTCCCATCCTTAGAAAACACCAACAGTAAACAATGACCTATGAAGCGTTTTTTATGAGTTCTACCTAAAAGTCTGCCTATAAATCGGTCAACAGCTTCCATCACTGTGGCTGCTGGTAGACAAGACCCTTCATTTTTTGAGTTATTACACATTGGTAAGCAAAACAGTGTCTGGACCCACACATG